TAATTGACTGTAAAATAAATGCAACAAACCTGATACGCAAAAATCCTAATCGATTGAAATGGTTAGAACATGTGTTACCTATGCCTAATCATTGCCTACTTCAGCAAGCGATGCCTGATGCTATAAGAGTACGTTGGCAGAGTTAGGGGAGGTCAAACCAAAACATGGCATCAGTCCATGAAGCCACTGGGTGTTGGTCTGAGCCATGTTGGTAGATGCAGACTGACTGGTTGAGGTCCACATAATAACCAGGATCACTGGTTAGAAACTTTAGATGACATGGCTCTGAATCGTTCACAATGGTGTAGACGTATTCACAATTTATCTTCCTTTCAATCCTGAAATCCACGACACTCATGTAAACCCTTTTATCGCCATTTCAAGACAGTTCCTCAATAGTCAGTAGTTCCCGTTATTCTCACTACTATATTACTTTGATTGATTTTGCAATTCGTCACGTTTTGCTAATGTGATGTGGTAAATTTAACAACGAGAAAAATTGACAGGCTTGATATGTCGATTATGATTAACTATTTAACTGTACAAATTACAACTTCCAAATGCTTTCAAAGAGTATTGCTCGATCAACGTTTAAAGTTGTATTCCCGGGAGAAACTTATCATGATTCACTCAAATAGAATCTATTCTTTTTAAATTGCCTTTCATAGATAGTGTTATTTGTGCTAATGGCTATAATTTTGTCATCTACAAATAATTTCGGATTGAATTACATCATTATTCCGTCTAAAAAAATGGTTTTAAAAAACTTGTTTGTAATTAACTTATGGAAATTTTTTGAATGGTTAGAAGAATAAACTAGATGTATGTAATACTTTAACAATGACGTAAGAGATTTCTAGCTTATCACGCGAGTGCATTTGATGGTGTTTCATACTGTTGGATTATTTGATGAAAGGACTTATTCTTTATCGAGATTGTGAAACTTTTGATGATGCTATGTTTTCATCGACTCAGGTGGTTTGGACATATATTACATATCCCTGACCATCGCCTATCTTGAAGCCAATGATGACCAGAAAAAGAGTAGGCCGGAAGAAAACTAGGGCGCTAAAACCAAGACATAAGACCAATCTATAACAGTGATTGATAGTTATTTTGAGGCATGTTGGTAGAGACATATGATCTAGCTGGAATGCGTCTAATAATTGTTATCAGTGGTTGAAGATATTGGGTGAAATAGCTTATAACCGGTCGTGATGGCAGAGATGCATTCATTTTCTATCATTCTTCGATCTTGAATCTCAGTATTCCTTTATACATAACTGTCATATCTAGAAGGTTGTTCTTGGTATATCGCGTATAACGTGAGCATTAGAACACCAGAACCCTTCCAAGACACAATGAGAAGACAGAAGGCTAATGAAAGGAATATCATTCCCAGACAATGTCAATTATAGTACAAAATTGTCAGGTATTTATAGTTTTCAGGAAGAATGGAATCATCCTTACAGCCCTCCAATCCACATACCGGGGGTTATTAGCATTGTCCAATCGGGAAGCTACACGTAGAAATTCTAGAATATTCTTCCAAAAGGTGATTGGATGGAATATCTTCGGCTCTTTCTGAGCCTCTTACAGCTTCCTCGAGTTTACCCGTGGTCCAACATACTGTTAAAGACTGTCCGGAGTTTCCTCCCGAACATACACTCGGCTGGTGACTTTCCTTCTGATACTGCCGGATTAGGGGTAACTCTGTAAGGCATTAGGAACTTACTGATCACTTGTTCTGGGATATCCTCACCTCCCACTTTGACCAGAGCTCTCTTTTATCGTATCCACGAACCTTTCTTCTTGGCCATTCGACTGAGTAAGGTATGGAGGAGATCGTAGATGCGATATACCATTTTCACTTCAAAAGCGTTTGAAAGCGGATGACATAAACTGAGTGCCGTTGTCGGTCACTAAGATCTCTGGAACCCCGAAACAAGCAAACAATTCTGACAATCTTCTTATTGTACTCTCTGATGTCGTTTTCGGCATGTCATATACTTCTGACCATTTTGTGAAAGCATCGACAGCAACTAAGTAACTTCTGCCTTGTGTTGGTCCGGCGAAATCAGAGTGTATTCTTTGCCAAGGCCCCTCCGGTTTTGGCAATCGTTGTGGTTCAGAATTCGTTGGATTCTTCGCAGCCTCTATACAGGACCAACAACTGCGACATTTTTGTTCTATATCATGGTCCATTGACGGCCAGTATGCATAGCTGCGAGCCAGTGATTTCATTTTACTTATTCCCGGGTGCCCGCTGTGGAACTGCTTAATGACTTGGTGTCGAAGATGTCTGGGAATAACGATACGGTGGCCAAACATGTTGCACGAATCGACAACTGTTAATGACTCGTCGACGAAAACGTTGTAAGAGTTCTCCATGTAGCCTAGATGAAGGCCACTTGTTGAGCATGCAGTGGCGAACAATCTTCAATGCATTATCATTCTTGCTAGCTTCTTTAATGGCTTCGAATGTGACCGTGAATCCGGAAACTGCGTTTGTCAATACTTTGTGAACCTCAGCCTCAACATCTATAGCAGCTACAAGCACTTCCTCTTCTTGTTTTGCATGCGAACCAATCAATCGTGAGAGGGCATCTGCCTGTCGGTTGATACTTTATCTTGAAAAGAGCCAAGACAATAAGCATTCAAACGACAAGTTATAACAATTGGCGATGAGGTGAGAGAAAATTCTGAACCTTCAATCTTGAAATTAACGAATCAAGGTTAGTCTGTAATTGGACAAAATTCAGTGTAATTATTTCGAGCAATCAGCATACAAAATTCTCGCCGCTGTCCTTCAACGACATTGATTGTTAATTAGTCATACAGTATTTTTGATTACCGCGCTGATTCTGAAAATGGCTATCTCTTCCGATCAATTACAGTTGCTATTTGAGCGACAACAGCAGCGTTTCAAAAAGAGCCAGTTGAGTGATTTAGACAATTTACGCATACGGCTGCTAAATCATCCATGTTTTGGAGATGTGACAGAAGTTGACAAATTAATTTCTAATTTGCATACAGAGCTGGAAAATGACTGCAGAACGTATAAACGTGTCGATGAAACCCTTTGTGAATCCTTGATAAGCGGTAATGTAAACGAATTAGTGGCAGTCATTCATGATGCGCCCAGTGATCAAGAAATGTCCTTTTCAGAAACATGCCTTGTCGTGCGTTCAAATCCCATTGTCCCCGAAACACCATCTACAAACACTGGATTTTCCAGCTCACAGAAAGACAATGTCTTATTAAATACTCATGAAATTATTGCAGTACCCGCTCACAAAAAAACAGAAAAACAGCATCATAATGAAGACAATTGCATTAAATGGAGCTCATCATTCTACGACAAAAGTTTCTGATGAATGAACTTATTGGGGTTCTCTAGTTGTTTTACCAGATATGAGTTATCTTAATGACTCATTCTTTTGATCAAATTTCTTACAAAAATGAGGAAAATTTGTCGGATGCATCAAACGATGATCAAGAACCTAATAAAATTTTGATAGATGCTGATTATTCTAGTGATCGATTTTCTACAAATAAGATTTTCAAGAAATCTGATGAAAATGTTTCACAAGAATCAAACCTTAATGACCTCATATCTAGTGTCGCTGATCCTCACCATTTAGTCAGTTCTAGTAGACCCTCTACTCAATGCGGGAAATATGCTTTAAATAGAGTCAAACTAACTGTAACTTGGGAATATGAGGACCCAACATTGTTTCGTGGGGGAGGATGAAGTCATAAAATTTAAAGATGGATCTCAACATAGAGTCTTCAAAAAAAGAAGGGGAGGTGATATAATGGAAAGAAAAGTCAATTTTCGACTGATTTACTCATTATAAGTTTTGGTTCAACATTACTTCCGTTTTCATTCAATGTAGTGACTACTCAATGTAGTATTGGTTTTCTATTCTCGTATGATATTTTATTCTGTAGAATATACGATATTCTTGTATTTAATTGACATGAACTATGTTCAGTATGTGATTTGTTATAACTCGAAGTATTTTTCATATATGTGATTTCATCCCCATTATTAATCAAAATGGGTGTACAATCAATATATGAGTGTATTTTCTACTACAGTCGTTTTCGTCGTCGTGTTTTGGGGTTAATAAATCACCACTTATATCAGTCTTTGTGTTCTTATTTTCTCGTCGTGGGAATTGCAGAGGTCCCTCGTTCCGAGTATAAGTGATAAGCGTTTCCGACATAACAATCAGCGACGACCAGATACAAAATGTAGCATTAAAAGAGCCAAGACAATAAGCATTCAAACGACAAATTACAGCAATAACCTTTCATTTCATCTTCCTGAATTACATTCTTGACGTTTAGTTTCTCTCATATGACTGATAACTACACTCTTCCGATTTCTCTTTCTGCTCATCTTCTTAAATTTATTTCATTACTCTAATGTGGTAATACCAGTCTGGGTTGACACACGTTTATACCATGAATTACGTTGACTATATACGAGAGAACAGACTTTTATCGAAACAAGATCAGTAGCAACTACTTCAAATATAACTAAGTGTATTGAGAAGTACTCTATAAGTGTTAAATTAGTTTGGTCTGGTATCTGTGAACAAGACGATGGTGGTACTGTTTGAAATAATTACAAGATTAAACCGTATCCTGCTTAGGAAACGTAGCGCTGCCAAAATGTGATTATTCGTTTAGATATTCGTTATATCGTGAAATCAAACTATGATTAAGCCATGATGACAAAGTATAACGTTTTCATTACTATGTTTCTTGTAATCAATATCTATTTCATGTCATCTACGTTGCAATTTCAAGAAAAATGTATAATAATACAGATTTTATCTTTCGATCAGTTGTTATGATCAACTTTATTTATGTGTTATGTGGAGTTTAAACTATTTTCATCAAGGGTTTACAATTATTTATCTGTTTTCTTCTATTCTTGAACTTCTAACCGGTGCTCACCCACAACCTTGGATAAAATCGGAATCAAGACTTTCTTATTTAAAGGCAAACACACTACCTATTCATTTCAATGAACCGACATCCAATCGATCGAATTTTCAACCACAATCAAGTAAGTATATGGCGTGATTTTCATTCAGTATAATCAGTGATGTTTATTTCAAGTTGGAAGTACCATTTCACGTATCTAAAAATGGAGTGGTCGCCACGACGTCTTAAGGTCTTGAGGCACGCGTAAGTGTATTCTTAGAAAATATTATAGGTCCTATTGAATGGATTTCCTTAGGAATTCTTATTATATCATATTTTCCATACATGTTTCAGGGTTTTAAGCATAAACACCAAAGATCTATATTTGTTGTCTGACTGACATTACTTTATCGCTTGAAATTTTCTTCCTGATAGTTTCAAACGACGTATTCAGAGCATACACACATTGTTCACATGCTGTTGAATTGCCTAAAAAGTTTTCCGTTCATAATTGTTTTACTGTTCCCATCCATATCTATTTTGATGTAAGTTAACTTCATAATTCGTCTTATCTACCCTAATAAATATTGAAATTGGACTAATTATTTCAAACGCACATCATATGTTTCTAGTGCACTTTCTGTACACTCAATTTAGTAAGAATATTAGCAGATTTTTTTAGTTTTGGTGACAGAAATTAGCTACTGACAAGTAGCCTGAATCCATGACTACGCACGTGGGACTCGAACACAGGACCTTCGGTCTCACTCGCGAACGCCTAACCTCTGGACCACTGAGCCAGCATCAAACGATGTTAATGTGTGGCTCTAATCAATTTACGATATCGCATGACCCTTCATCCATTTCCTGAGGTGAATAACTGTCTCACACCCGACTAATGTTTCCGGGCTTTCAATAGTGGTCTAGTTTAAATCGATTTGTGATTTCAACCGTGTAAATACTACGATTTTCATGAATCTCCCATACTACTAACAAGTAGTTGAATTTGGTTTAAAAATTATATATTTGATTCCATGGTAGAATCATAAACATTGGGATTTACTGAGAATTGTGCGAAATTAAATTTTCGAACTTGTTTCTGAATGATGCTTTTGGATACACGTAGGAAGAAACAGTACCAAGTCAGTTTAAGAGTAGGTGAGATGTCTACTCTCATTTAAGCAAGTTGATTTGGTAACTTGTTTTCGTGATTAAGAACTGATCTAAGTTACATCTTAATATGATTCCACAGCCCCCGATGCTGACGATTCTTTTCTCGTATATCTGTTCAAAGCTAAATTTTAGACCAATCATGTTCATAATAACCAGGCATTGGACACTTGATATTCATGTAGTGTACAAACGTTGAAATAGATTTGAATTTAATTAAAGAATCTTCGTTCACCAATGTTCCTTGTTTCATTTGCCTGTAAACGAGGAGAAAATCATGAAATCATTCGAAAAAGACCATCTGCAACCGTACAAATGACTCAGAAGCTAAGTGATATAAAGTCGAATGAATGAGTTTCATTACTCTATTTATCCTGAATTTGTGGTTAAAAAATCAGTAATGAACCTTGATAATAAACCATTTTAAACACGTTTAAATCTCATCAATAGAACGAAGGATTTTCAGTTCATCTGTAAACTCACTTGTTATTAAAAGGAATGAGAATATTAAGGTTACCTAAAGTGTTGTTATCAATATGTATGATAATTTAATCAGACCGAAACGTTGCTTAGAATCAGTCATTTTCTTTCACTTAACACGTTATAGTGTCTCTTTAGTTTAAAAGCACGAGTAGCAACCATTTTATTACATGTTCGTAAATTACTTCGCCATCCTGTGTGTATGATGTTGAGTCAGTATCTCTAATCTTCACATAATATTTGCACCTAAACAACCGGTATAGAATTGTTGAATTAAATGATGAATTATCAAGACAATACTCTTTATAATGTTTACTCAGTTTCAACTGTAAAGTTTTCAGTTCAATACCAAAGTCAAGAATGAGATATTCATTTTATTTTATAAATTTTAATGGCAATCAACAGCGAGTATTAAACATAAGTGTTTTAACTTGTTGAAATTAACTAACACAATGCATCAGTAAACTTGATTAAATGAAGAAAGCTTGCTGTTTCTATAATCTGTTATTGTACAAATATTCAACCGTAAGATGTACTATTTAGTTATTTAGATTCTTAATGCCAAAACAGTGTTTAGTTTTAACGTTAAGTTAGGAATGTTGACCACTGAATTTTGAGTGAGTGATTCTAATGCAGCTTGTTTCTCGCAAAACCTAAAAGATTCAACCTCTCACAACTCTGAGGTTGTAGGTGCACTCTAACATTGAGAATTTTTGTAGTGAAAGCGATCCAATGTTTACCGATAGCAAACTATGATGAATACTATTGAGAAATAAGGCTTATCAACGTTTCAGAAAATCCTTAATCAAACTATGTAAATGTTGTGATGGCGTTGAGAAGCATGGCGAGGCCCCCAGAGGCTCTAAAGGAGCCGAAGAGTTTCCGTCCAATCAGAGCCCGACAGAGCCTTCCAGATTATCGACGTAGCGTGCCACGATTGAATGGTAGCATAACTTGCCCCCTTGAGGATTGACTGAACTATAATGACGTTATAACCAACGCTAATAACTATAAATACCCATGTTTTTTTCTGTACATTTTTTATTCTTACCCAATAATTACCTCCGTTGTTTCTTTTGGCTTCTGATTTTGCGACCGCGAGGTTTTACACATTCACGTGCCGTTAGTCGTACATCGTAGTCTGCGGTAATCAAGTAAAGGACTTAATAGTAAAAACAGTTTAAATCACAAGTTAGTGAGCAAGTTAATGAATAAGAGAATAAAGATGCATTATAGACTTTCAAAATAGGAATCAACCAAGACTACTGCCATTGCCTTTCCTTCAATAGAAATAATTAGAGTGAAACTAAATATAGCTTTGAGTTAGAAGTTTCATACGAATAATTATGTCTCATCGATGGTATCACCAATATCAGGACTTATTACAGAATCAGTGATGCAGAGGCTGGAAACCTCGATCTTACCAGTGATCAAGCCAAAAGTTTGGATTCGTTATGTAGACAACACATTCGCCATCGTCAAAAAGGACGAGCTGGAAAACATCTACAGTCTGATCAACAATGCCTTCGATGACATAAGGTTCACAATGGAACAGGAATCAAACGAAAAAATGTCATTCTTGGATGTATTAATAACCAGGATTGACACAGGAAAACTGGAGACTCAAGTATATCGGAAGCCAACCCGTACAGATCAAATTCTCAATTACAATAGCAACAATCCAAGGACTCACAAAATCAACGTCATACAAACTTTATTCGTAAGGGCGACAAAACACTGCAACACACTTGCAGTGCGGAAAAGTGAAGAAAAATACCTGAAGACTATCTTTGAAAAGAACGACTGCAGAAACAAAATCAGGTACAGAAACCAACAAACGGATCATTCTACCACATATATAAAAGGTATATCAGAAATTACAACGAGATTGTTGAATCCATTCGAAATAGGTGTGACACGTAAACCAACAAAATCACTACAATCAGTCCTATGCAAACAAAAGAACGAAATGTAAAAAGAATAAAAACCGAACGTCATTTGCAAATTAAATTCTCCCAACTCCGAAAAACACTACATCGGACAAAGTGGACACCCCCTTCATCTTCGCCTTCATGAACATCAATTAGCGGTCAAACACCATCACATATCCTTGCTTATACCAATGCAGGTGGACCACTGTGGACACACAGTCTACTGGGAAAATGTTGAGATCTTGTATAGAAAGAATTCTAAAAGCACCAGAAACCTTTTAGAAGCTTTGCACCCAGGTCAATCAGCAATCAACAAGTACGTTGAGATCGATCCAATTTATCAACCAGTCAGTAAAATTATGAACAAATATAGAAATAAGAATATATAAGAATCAAATCAATGGGATATGTAATCAAAATAAGGAAGTAAACAGTGACAGATTAAAGGTCAACAATAACCAATCAAGATCGAGGTCTACTGGACAAGCTATGAGTCATATGTGGAGAAATTCGAACAATTCACTTCTACTTTAAGTTCGTGCTGATGATGTCGTTTAGAAGTATGATGAAAGCTGATGTTGATCAGTTATACCCCTAAATATCAACAACCGGAAATCACGAACCATTGCCAATACCGATACTACTAATATTCTTAAGTAATCATCTGATTAACTGATTAACATAATCAACTGCTAAGTCTTTTAGACGATTACGCTGGTCTTGTAATATAGACGTATAGAACGATAGATAGCTTTTAAATAAAATTAGCCATATTATTATCAATCATGGTTGAATTTCGATCAGTTTTGCTGGCACGTATTTCTTCTGCGTGGATTGCCACAATATGGCAATTCTGTCACAAGATTTCTTTTAATAGATGGATAATAGCTAACAGCGGGATCAACAATGATGGTTTTTTCCTATCCGGAATTCGCCAGTCGAATGTATCTTCACCCGTGTTGATATGTGCATTAGGACTCAAACTCGGTATCTCTCCTGGACTCAGTAGCTTAATGGATAAGGGGTTGGGATTTGGAGCGAAAGGTATTAGGTTCGAGTCTCAGTGCCAACGACAACACGCATGCGGATAAACCCCAGTGACCACTCGCGCATAGGATGAAATACACATTACGAGTTCTGCTGACAGATATAATGCATGTATTATATTAAAATAGCACTTTGATCATTAAAACTCAGTTAAGTTGCAGTCAATATGTGACCCCATAAGAATGTGTTATTGGTGCCTGTTGCTACATCAGCAAAGTGAGAAAATAACTAACAAAATGGGAAATAGGGGGAGGGGAATAATGTAATCTTGAATGAAATAAAAATCTAAAAATCCAATTTGATCAGAATAAACGATAATGAAGAACGTAAAATTAGGATTGACACTAACTTCAAGGTTTAGAGAATGATAGAGAATGAAGGCCAATGAGTTGTTGTGATCACTTTTGGAACATTCCCTTCAAAGTCTATAGCCATATATTACGACTACTGGATAGGTTTCAAACAAGAAGTTTGCACCTATTGATATGGCTCAGACTAGTAATAAATAATTTTATTGATTAATTCACTGATTTGTCTACCCCAAAAGTTTTCATCCGACTTCTCAGTCTTTGTTGATTTAAGTAAGTAAATATTTATTTAATTGATTTGCATCGCTTGTTTGAATCTTCCACTTAGGCTCTAGAACTGGATTAAATCGGTCTCTTTTGACATATGGGCATTCTGTGAGGATTGTCTCAATATTGCATTATAGAGATGGGTAATGGATAGCAGTGGAATCCAAGATATGCGTTTATTTTTACTTAAGACTCGTCAGCTGGATGTACTTGAATTTCAGAGTTGATATTTACTCTTTGACTCGAAACCAGCACCATTCACTTCAAATGCCACTGCGTCATCCACTTATATGTAGATCTCAACTGTTCATATGGTCCTTTTTATTCACAATAAGATACATTCATCAGAAGTGTAAAGTTGAAGAATATGGACGACAGTTAATTTAGATAACTTATTAGGATAAATGAATCATTCATCTTACAAGTTTAATGTTTACTACGCCTAGATGCTATTCGTATTTAATTTATCTTAAATCTACTTTTGTTCCTTACGTTTTTAATTAGACTCAATCATGAACCGACTGTCAAATTGTAGCATTTGGGATTCCAACCAATACTATTTGATCATTCAGTAGTAATAAACATCATACTATTCCCTAGTGTTGATCGAGTTTGATTGATCAAGGACCATTGATAGCTGTTGACTTATGGTTGGTTATATTGGCTGACGTGTGGGAGTAGGCTTGAGAGCTAAGGGTGACCTAACTATCTGATTGTGCTGACGTAATGTAGCAACTTGAACCGATGTGGATAGCTATTCGGTTCTACGTTAGTTATGGATGACTGGCTGTCTGACTTAGTACGAGATTTTGTAAATACTTCACACATCCATACCCACAAACGTATTCTACACTTCAACAAACATACTCAAAATCAAACAAGAACAAAACTTTTTAGCCGAAAATACATACTGCTTTTCTTGCATCCGAATAAAAAAATAAACAAGAAGGTGTACTTAATTATATTTTTAAATGAATCTAACAAATAATACAAGATAGTAATAACAATAATTGTGCAATTAATAAAACAAATGCCTTCTACTAGCAATCTCAATTATTCTCTGGTACTGTGTGTGTAAAGTTGAAGGTGTTCATTCTTTCTCAATTACTCTACGGTGTTTTAAAACAAATAACAATAATAATAACAACAGCAACAACAAGAAGTATGATAATACCCAAAAAACGAATGTCAACAATTACATCATGAAACACACGTACTGTCATTTACATCACATGCTTATTTCACAATGACTGACTAGAAGATTAATTGCTGTTATTGTTTGTTTATTCGTGATATAGATGACAGTAATAACTTTGATGTTGTACTATTGTTAATTATTTATGATTTATTTATCATTTATGTTTTCCCGTTTTTTCGCGCTTAAAAAAATAAAAAGAACAACTCCATATCACAGTAGAAATGTAAAAGAAAAGAATTCTGAATAAAGAAAATAATTAAAAGAGCATATATTTCTGTATGAAAATCAAACAAAAAAATCTAATAAATAACATTAAATCATTAACCAAATAAAATGAAAAGTGCTCCACAATTAGATATCACCATTAAAACAATAAATGAATGTGAATATTGAATTTTCAGAAAAAAAAACAACTGAAAAGTATAAATACAAAAGAAAATTTATTGCTAAAAAAAAGAAGTAGGTAAGAAACTTGTTTATGCAGTAGTAATGGTGAGATTATAATTTATGGACGATTTTTGAGGGACGCAAAGGTGACCTTATGAGTGTCTACCTACTTACTAGGGATAAATGAAGGTTATAAAGCAGTTTGAAGAATAAGGATTAATCGTTAGGGTTAGGAATTACATTTACGATTTTTCATCATGAACTGACATCAGCTATAATGCCAAGACTCTATTTGGTCAGATGGATGAGTGAATTTCGCGCCAAAATCCGAGGCCTGTTATCTTATACCTGATTGGCTCGTCCATAAATCATAGTCTTACCGTAGTAATATATTTAGATAGAATGTTTGAAATGTATATTTAAGTGTGATATTCAAAGTGTTTTGAGGATATATTGATGTGTACAAGAACGGTATTTTTATGAACTAAGGGCATATTTAAATTCATCTATTCATTCGTATCTTCTTTATGATAATGCTGCTGCTGCTGATGATGATGATGATGATGATGGTTCCAGTGGATTTGCTAGTAACCATGGATATTGTTGAAACGAATTAACAATAACTGTACTGCCCCAACGTATTGAAGATGGTAGTATATATAATAAACAGCCAATATGTTCTAATATAGGTCTATCGATCCAATACAAAGGATTGAATACATTAATTTCTGATGAATTCATTAATCCAGATAAAATATATGGCCATGTTCTTAAATATGGTGAGGCTAAAGTGAAACCAATGAATACACCTGCTACATTTATTGGATGACTCAATCCTACACTGTATAATTCCATCCCACAACCAGCTGAAAGTGTTAAAAAAAGAAATTCATTAAAAAATATTACACTATGCATAGAAAGTTGTATAAGGAACACAAGAATTATTGGTAAAACTAAAGTATAAGGATGTACCAATTGGGTGTCGAAATGTAGTCTCAAGGCCACTGTACGTAGTTCAAATAAACGTGTTGAATATCTATCTTATCATTCTAGACTTCAACAGAAATGTGATAGTAACATAATTACAAACAAACGGGCTGATTTAGAAAACCCTTTCGTGTAATATTAATAAGTAGGTAAGACAGTAAAATATCAGATAATACGTCATATTGTACTCCGTTGCCAACTAGTTAAAAAAAGAAGTGTAAGAGCCAAGTCGGGTTGCTGCCACATACTACTTATATCTATCACCATAAGTAGCATACACCACAATGTTGCTGTTGTTATCAATTAATGACCAACGTCTACTTAGTATTGAGAACGTTGAAAACTAAAAACTATTGGACATCTGTTTTATCCTGCATTAAGACGTCTTGAAAGCACGTATAAACGGGTTGAACTCACGCTTTCACTAGTGACTAATTTCGAAAAGTAACTCCAACTCCAATGAAAAGCCGGGATTAGTCGAGTTTGAACATGTCAAGTGTAAAGTGATTACCGACCAGTGTCATCGGAAGATGGCTTTACGATGCCACAAATTAATTAAAAATGAACATATAAACCATCCTATCCCGAATAAGTAGTCTAAAGGTTAAGTTCTAGCTGTTAAATCTAAAAACCCTGGATTCAGTTCATGATGGAATCGTTTATGTGTACTGCTCAAGTGCCCCATATTGAAAATAAAAAGCTGTCCAGAGCCTCCTAGTTGTCTGACTACGGTATATAGCTGGTTATTAAAGAAATAAACATTATTATATTCCGATGAGAATAATGGATGGTAACTGTCAGAATCTATTCATGGACTAATATTATACATATATTTTTATTGTATAATTGTTGAGTAACTAAACAATTCATATTTGTGTTTCTTTTATTATAAGCTTTATTTTGACCCATAGACTATAATTATACGATTTACCATTCCTGAGTTATGTCCAGTCTATCAATTACTATCTCCCACATTCACAGTAACTTTTGGCTAAATCTTGTACAATTGTTATTTTCTATTTTATGGTACGATGTGGTCTGTCTGGTTGGCATGTAAACCCAATATGTTTGGAATATATATTTCATACCGCAGAGGCTGAGATTGGTGTTCTGGACTTAACTGGCTGGGCTAGGCGGGAAGCAGGACCGATAAAGACTAGACTGATCGTACTTGTTCTATACATCATTGGTCTGGTCGATAATTCATTACTCTATAATTGGTGGTATCATTACGTTATGCTTTGACAGGGGCACAAACCCACAAGTTATAAGAAACATATGATACTGACTCCTTGAGGTATGAAAAGGATGGGAAGAGTAAGAAAAATAGTGACACTAATTCATGAAGTACCATCATAAATATCGCTCCAATTTTAATAACACTGTTTATGTGAAACTGAAATGGTCAGTGTACAATATTCCAAAAATATTTTCTTTGAATTTTTTCATATTGTCTGATTGCATTCAACGTAAATGATATGTCAGAAGTTGAAATTATTTCACTTATTACTTACTAGTTATAAGTATAGTGAAGAATTTACCATATGATATACTGGAACATTACTGCAAATACTCTTCTATCCTGCAAATCTAATTATTATTGTATTATTTTAAATTTATCAAGTGATTACATTTTGATAATTAAAATAACTCGTTATGTTATTGAACAAAAATAAAGAGAATTCAACGAAAAAAATTTTCTTTCCGACGAAATCATTCACTTAAGATGTACATTCGTATATGTATATAGTTATATGGAAAATATAGGTCTATTATCTGACCCATAAATTATTTTCATCCTTATATTCCTTCCTTACCCCTTGATTAGTGCGTAACTGCATTCGTTATTTGGTCTCGAATCCATTTTGTGGTGCAATCTCTTCTATCCTCCTATTGACCTATATTTTTCATATATAACTATATATGCGAATGTACAGCTTAAGTAAATGATTTCGTCAAAAAGAAAATTTTCTTCGCTGAATTCTCTTTTTCTTATTCAGTGATTACATTTTATAAGATTCCTACGAAAAAAAAACACCTCTCTGTAAGAAAGTAAAGTACAGAACCAGAAAGTGTAATTACACTACAAGAATATCCAGTGAGTCGACATGAGTGAAATAATCTGAGAAATGTTTGTGACTGGGGTAATCCTATCAATAACAGTTCAAACTATTATAATTAATGGAAATGCTACACATTCTCAAAGGAGTCTACGCCGGATGACTGAGTCTGTAAATTTTGTCATTCATATCTTGTTAAAACTTGATCATAGCAGCAAGTTTTCTATGCCATGAAAGGTTGCTTTGTCCAATCTTTTAGATAATTACAATAATAAACTGACTTGAGCAAGTTAATCAACGAAAATCATGGGTAAATAAACAGTGATTTCGTTCTGATAAGGGGATTGTGATCGTCTAGGCTTTTGCGCAACTAATTCACGCTCATTAGTCAATTCACGATATTCATTGGCCATTATTTATTATCATCGGTAATGCTTGTTTTATTTTCTATATGTGTCGGTCCTACAAGAGTTCAGTTGCTGGCTGAGTAGATCAACGATAACATTTTAGACTATGAAAGTAGGCGACGCAAATTCGAATCCAATAGGGAAGTTTAGTTTCCTCAAGATTGCAATTATGTTTTGGTGACAAATACCAACGAGCACAATGTCTATTTTAGAGGTTTTTGTAGTAAACACTTTCAACTACTCGAAATGATTGACGATTTGTTTTCATTCTTATGTGGTTTGTTAATGTACTACATTAAATCATTCTTATGTTTTTAATTGTTGAAATTATTGTCAAACTAATTATAAAGTCTCCGATGAACCAATTTTGTGGACAACAAGACAGAGGTTTTATTAATAGATGGTACTTTGAATGAACAGCCAGCGAGAATCAATCATTTCATATCATTTCAACATTAATATAAAATCTTCCACACTTAGCAAGTGGTATGATGACTAAAATTAATTGATTTATCTCTAGTTGTTCTATGAAATAAGTTAAAATATTCTACTTTTCTGATAAATTTTTATCATTTACATTATTAATACTGAAAACAAATTGAAATCTTAAATAAAAATATAGGATTATATTTCATTTCTTGGAGTATAAGGGTGTAACTATGACAACCAATGAATTTTACCAATAAAATCAATTTTAATTTTTATATCGACTTTGAAAAATGGATATTTATGAATTTAAAAAAAGTTCAGAGAAATTATTTTTGTAACAAACAAAGAAATTAGTTCCTTTAATAAATTTTTTTTCCTCAAATTGTCTTCAAACAAATGGATATTTTATAACTACTCTCTTTTTGTTGTTGTTGCTAAAATATACTATCAAGACGAATTAATCAGATCTAAGATTATCATTTTTGGATTTTTATGCTAAATTCAAATACCTTACCATAAGCTAAGGTGTGAGGTTATTCATCTTGTTTTAATGTTTATTAAAGTGCAACATTTGAAATTTTCAAACATTTTACCATTTATTTGTCGAGTATTGTCGGATAATGCAAAAATATTGAACATTTGAAGACAAATTTACGGGTACATCCAATCTCGAGAATAGTAAAATTACTCGTGTTAGGTTGTTAAAAGGCTCGAAAAATTGATAAACATATCTGTTTTGTGACCAAAAAGTGATTATGATACGGTATGTAAGCAACATTACAAGCATCACATGGTATTGTTGCATACTGAATCTGAAACGTTAATCATCAGTTAAGCTTACTTGATCTAATTCGGACCATAATCAAAGGTGTTTGTAGGGTCTCTCAAGGTCCCCAGCTCATTATGACCTAACAGGTGAAGAAGAGTTACTCAGTTCATTGGATCTCGTGTAAAACCTTGACTATTTATTCATCCATAAGAGTTCCAAATGACTACGGAACAACACTTCGGTTTTACAGCTGTTCTTATTCTACACCTACGAATTAAACCGATCTTCACAATAACTCACTTAATCTATTTTGAGGTATATGTGGTATATAAAAATTCAGAATAAAAGGGAATAAGATTCCCAGCATTCCTACTTATCAATTAAATTAATCAACTTACCCATTATTCGATGAAATTGCCCCCTTGGTGTAAATGTTGCACCATATAACCAGTAAATATGTCTTGGGACATATAATGTTGCTAAAGAAATAACATGAATAATAGCGATCGCATAAATAGCATGAGTTTAAGTCAGTAAATCAATAGATTTTCCCCGATACCTAATCATATAGTAAATAATAATATAAATTGAGTAAAGTCGAATATACGAATTATTGGTTAACGAACCAGTGATTAGAATGGCAACACATTTTCTTCTAGGTCTGGAAGTCATGATTGCGAAACCAAATAGTTGTGTAGAACTTTCGTGTTGTCAAAAGTTATTTCGCTGAAGATGGTCTACTATATATAATATTGTTAACAACTTTTACAGGTAGCAGATAACTATCATGAAATTCAAAAATATGCAATGAGCTGTGTTTTGGTTGAGAAACGTTCCAATTTCAAACAAGATATTACTATCAATTCAATGTTGTGGTTTTTTTATTGAATTCAACATGATGCGTTATCATGACTAATTGTATTTTAAACTGTGGAGAAATTATTTCACAGAATAGAAACTATGGGAAATAATACAGAATTTTTTACTGCATAGTTAGACATCTCGTTTTCATTCAGTCGTTCTCAGTCTTTCTTTGAATTATACACAAACAAAAAAATATATGTACTTACGAACATGAATAGTAGGATATAAAACTGGTGGAAGATATGTTCACCTCAGGTGGATGTTTTCGTTTTATTGAGTTCTGTACGCTAAATGTTTTAGTTGGAGAGGTTCCTTTGTCGTTAATGACAAATATCATTATCATCTAATCCATATTGAAGATATAAATCTAAGAAATTACTGATGAGGGTTTATGATTTCTTGTCGTTGACACCCAGGACTGAATTTTGATCAGTTTCTGTTGTCATCTGAATATCTTGATCGAATCCCCTCGCGGTAGCATTATGTTACAACTTTTAGTGTATTTGAGACCTGTCAACTTTATACACCTACAACCCATTTTGAACGTTCACACAGAAACTCGAACCCAGTACATTTCATTTTAAACAGCCAACACCTTATCCACTGAGCTACTGGGTTAAGGTAGACAATAACTTATTGAACGGTTGTGAAAGCTTTAATAGGGTTTATTAATTTCCTGCTGTTAGTATTCGGAACTGCAAATAATCAGACTATGTGAAGTTGCTTCCAGTATCGTATACTGCATTGGTGTATTAACTGCCCATTTTCTCTATTTTACTACCACCACTAAATAATCGATCGTATATTCAAAGCAATTACAGATCATTATTTTATATATTGTGATTACTGGTTTGTGGTTGTGTTTATCAGTTCTGAATTATTTCATCCTATATGTGGGATTGTGTGTACATAGACGCTCTCATTATTGGTTTGATCCACTGCTAACACTCTATGAGTCGTATTTCGATTGGCGAATAAATCACATGATAGTTAGTCGGGGTTAAAGATACAACTGTAGCAGTAATAATAGCTATGTTCTAATTGGCAACTAGTTTTTAGATAACATTACTGAAGTTCTATACAGGTGTTAACTAAATAATAAGTCAGTCCCTAATAGGAAGAAACACACGCTTTGGATTCAACTGCTATCAATAATGCATCTGTTCTCCACAAACATACACTAAACATTCAAAATGCTGTGGATGATCTAAGTGACTGAAATGATCCACGGTTTTCATATATTGGATAGAAAACTTGCTTCACTATTATAATTAAAATATTTGCTTCTTCTGATTAAAACCGATTTATTAGAACAAAGAGCTTTGAAGATTGTTTGCTGTCACAGTATTACATTATGGACCCATTATAGACAATCACTGGAAACTGGTAAACATTTGCCTTAAAATTGAATAATGTTTAAATTACATTCTACACATATGGTTGGTTTTCAACATTTACTAAATGAATTGATCTTAGTTAGACCACCATTGAAAACCTGGAATCACTGAAATATCATTTCGAACTAGTATAAGACTCTTTAACAGTAGGCATTCACAATTCTTTAGTCAGTAGTAGAACCCATTACTTTCGATCTCGTATACGTAGGCTTAGGCTTTGGAAGATAGAGCCCACCAACCATCAAGATTGACACTCCTTTCCAGTAAAAGAATAGTCAAAGATTTCATGAGAAAATCGAACTATGAAAGCATGTAAAATGTTCGTTTGTACACTGACTCAGTTTTAAAGGCCATATTATAACGTTTTAAACAAATTTCCATTAGCACTGAGAGATAGAGAGGCACAACACTCGTCATTATCTAATAATCAACCAATAAAACTAACTACAAATAATTTGTGAATTACATCGTTTTTTTTAACATCTTTCATCGGTATCCAGGGTTTGATTGTTTAACTTTGGTTTAAATGTATTTCTTGTTACTAAACGCTCAATCAAGATTATAGGAAGTGGCCTGTGTGAAACGGAAATGCCAATGCAAACTTTTTATAAATATGTATTTCACTGTAATAAGTAATTAGTTGTTTATTGAACATTCATATCATAATCTAATTTATTTGGATAGTCCAAATTGACCTAAATACTAGATAACCGGTTTATTGATTTCAGAGCGCAATCTAATCAATGGACCCTACACATTTGTAGTATTATCTTAGTAAGTAATAAAGTGATAATTCCCAAACTTTTACGGTAACTCAAAAGACATCCCCATCTATTCATTATATATTAATGCTTTTAAGATTTCCACGCTATTTTAACATAAAACCCTAATAATGTTTTGCATATCTTATTTCAGTGTAATAGTACAGTTTATCAATGTTTTTGGTAATATAAAATGACCTAAGTGTACATGTCTAACAGAATTGGATTCCAAGTCAGTGGTCTGTAAGTTCAACATCCGATATCTGATGAAGTCATGGACGCATACTATTGAAGAGTATCATAATATAACAAAACATTTCTCCAGTGCTTCCGGATATTTAACTTCAATAGTTTTGTGATCTCTATAGAATTTCAACAATCCTCACAAACCCATATACTGATAATAATCAGTGTTTCTCTGCAAAATATGACTTGAATTATTTTAATTTCTTTTAGCAAAACAAAATGATCAAGTACAATACATGTGGAAGGCTTTAAATCACATTTTGTAATACCATGATCCGGCTGACCAAACTAAAGTGAAAGTCATTTCGAGTTCATTGGTTAAATATTCAAAAGTGTTTAACTACCATATGATATTTTTTGATCAACTAATCAATGAACAATAACGAAATTACAAGAACATATTGATCAAAACTAAATTAAATACTGATCACAGTAATATTGATTTCTTGCAATTTACTAAAACAATTATCAATTTCAATGAATAAGTAACAGTGATTTGAAATTACTATTACTTTAAATATGAATAATTTTCCAAATAGGGTTGTGGAGATTATCAAGTTTTTGATTGATTGATAAATACCATATGCTCACTAGTGACTAGGTTGATGAGGGAATTCTCGGAGTTCTGGTGATAAGCCGTGACTAGTGGAGCTAATCTGTGTCGGGTAGAGACAGGTATCTACTTCAGTGCAATGGAAGATGGTCATACAATTTCGTGGATTGGTTGAGGTCAAACAATAATACCGTTGGACGTCAGCTCAGTGGTCTAGAGGTTAAGCGCTCGTGATAGGTCCTGAGTTTGTATCTCGTGAGCCCGGTTCGTGGATGCGCACTGCTAAGGAGTCCCATACTAGGACAAAACGGCCGTCCAGTGCTTCCAGGTTTTCAGTGGTCGTCTAACAGCAATTGGTTCATGATCTCAATAAAAAAATGAGTAATTTTCCCATAAAAACGTTATTCATCTAGTTAATGAATCCATGAAAAAAACTGTAACCATTCTAATATTAAAAAGGGAAGAGGAAATAATTGTTTACCGTATTGACGGAATATCAATGCAACTCATCAAATTCAAATTTTATGTACTGTACTTTAATCCGCAACAATTTCGTTAAAATTTACAAAACAAAAACTACCATTCAGCTAGTTAAATTAAGGCTAAGATGAAACAGAGTTCACCCCCCCCCCACAATAATGTGGTGGAAAGTTCAGTGTTTTAGGTATCAGGGCGCCGACATGGACAGTATGATCATACATTCGTTATACTGCTGATTCATTCGGATAGCTTGTAAAGAGAAGTTTGATTTGAAGTTAGTTATTGTCTTGATAAGAATTTCCACACAAAGCTAATATGAACGTGAAATACTATGTTTTAATTATCGTGTTTTGGTCTCAATATGAACATCAACACTGGGATGTCGGTAAATCCAGCTGACGAAACTCAAATACGACAAGACGCGCGTCCTAGATCTTACCGACAGCCACAACCTATCTGCTTTTAAGAAAAGTTGTGACCAGATGGTTAAATCGGAGCGAACATCATAAAATTAACATATGCCAAAAATATTGACTCAAATTCATTCCTGAATATTAACAATGGGATAATTCGGACCCTTTTCAATAATAATTTGACTGTAGTTGTAAATATAAGGGCTGCTATATATTTCGGTTCAACACCAGCCACAAGATGTAATCTGAATTTGACAGTTCCCAGAGTCACAGATGTCTACGTTTAACAGTGCTTCCAGGTTTTCAATGGTGGTCTAGCTTCAACTGACTCATGAGTTCAATCTGTGAAAATTTCTAAAAATCTCCACAAAACACATTCTGATAATAATAATCACCTGCTCACTAGTGACTGACTTCAGGAGACACTTCTGGAGTTCTAGTGATAAGTCGTTACCAGTGGAGTTCAACCAGGTCTGTTGTGAGATAGGAACTCACTGAAGACATTGGTGTACGGTAGCGCAACTTCATGGATTGGTTGAGGTTAGACATTAACACCGTTGGATACCGGCTCAGTGGTCTAATGGTTGAGTGCTCGCGCGCGAAGCCAGTAGGTCCTGGGTTCGAGCCCCGGGTGGTGTGGGGTTGTGGATGCGCACTGCTGAGGAGTCCCGTACTAGGACGAAACGCCGTCCAGTGCTTCCAGGTTTTCAATGGTGGTCTAGCTTCAACTGACTCATGAGTTCAATCTGTGAGAATTTCTAAAAA